GGGGAGGAGCTGGAGTAGATAGAAGATCATTAACGCATATTTAAATAGAAACTTTGATCTCAAAGTAGCACAAGGCAGAGAAGGCAACAGTTGAAATGTCAATTACATTCCAGAAGAAAGCTCAGTGATTGAGAGGTCCATGAAATGACTGAATGCTTTATATGCTCTCAGATTTTAAAAGTGTAAACAATAGCGAGGACAAGATTTTTTTGGAAAGGGCAAATGGATGGTATCTTCACTCTATAGGCATGCTACAATCAGTGTTGTCAAAGGCGCGCTTAAGCCCTGAAGCGAGGCTCGGAACATGTTGAGCGCTTCGCCTCGCTTTGTGGGCGCTTCAATGTCGCATCAAGGCTCTTAGGCATACTTTTCCTTGACAATGAGTGTGATCCTAAAAAGGTGACACTAAACAATTGATATTTCACTTTATCGTAATTTTCTTTTCCAATTTTTTTGTCCATATATTTGTTATTCATACTTATAATTATTAGTCTTGTACTACATATACATATTTTTACTTTTTCTCAAGTTGCACCTTTTTTCATTAAAGCCCACGCTTTATTTGCGCTTTGCGCTTAAAGCCCCAACAGGCCTTAGAACTTTTTTGCGCTTTTCGCCTTTGATAACACTGGATACAATATGTCTATGAATGAGGTGAACCAGTCAGCAAACAATCCTTGGAAGCAGATCTGGAATACTAAAGCTCCAGGGAAACTTATGTGATGGTTAGCTGTTAAGAAAGCCTGTCTGACTCAGGAAAATCAAAAAAGGAGAGGCATACAACTTGTAAATAGATGTTATTTGTGTGGAATATTTTGAAGATATCAATCACCACTTTATACATTGCCCTATCACTTCATAAACCATAGGTACGGCAGATGTTACTGAATATGATGGGAATGAAATGGGCTACGCCAAAATTAACAGTAGAAGTACTTCTTTGCTGGAGCAGGAAAGGGCTGCCTAAACAGTTACAGAAAAACCTGGAACACCATACCAGCTGGTATTTGGAGGTATATATGGAAAGAAACAAGAGATGTTTTGAAGATAAGAGGAGCTCAGCCCGGAGAACTACTACATCCTTATGATTTCTTTTTGGTGTAAATTGGAAGTAGTTGAAGGTGCTGAAACACTTACAATTTACAGAAACTTTTGTATAGATAGACAGGGTTGATTCGCTTAAGTTTCTTTTTGGATGTACAGCACCTTCTTAGTGATGTTTTCCTGACATCAATAATACTTACCTATTCAAAAGAAAGTGAGATTCATGTATATCCTAAACCAGCGATATATTACCTCAACCAGATCCATTCTTGACACCTTAATTTGATTACTTAATCTAAGGCATATTTCTATATCTGCCTATGTGAGCTTTGAAAAGTATAGCCAATTCTAATAACACATAAAGCGGGGTTGCAGTAGATTGATTCTTTAAAAGCTCATCAATCATTGTCATAACCATTTTGTACCCAATTATTGTCATAATCATTTTCAAGATATAAATAATAACCACATGGATCAAATTCAATGTAATATATACTGGTCGAATAGGAATAGATATAAATACATGTTTGCTTGGCTTTTCCCCAAAAAAGATTCTCACAGTTAAGAGGAGAAGTATAGAAGCCCCAGTTAGAAGGTGAGAGCGGTTAGCCTCGGTGGGTAGCAGGAGGGGTAGAGGTAGGCCTAAGAAGTGTTGGGAAGAGGTTATTAGGCGGGACATGGCGCAGCTGGAACTGACTGAGGACATTGCCCTAGACAGGAGGGTGTGGAGGTCAAAGATTAGAGTAGAAGGTTCGTAGGTAGTCGAGCGTTTCTCTCTGTCTTACTCAGTTCGCTAGCATTGGCTATTACTACATAGAGTTTGACTGTATTCTTGGATTCAATCTTATTTCATCTTGCTGTTATTCCTACTTGTTGCAATTACCTTTTCTTTTTCAGTCGTTCTCTAGTCGAGAGTCTATCGAGAACAGCCTCTCTGTCCTTTCAGGGGCAGGGGCTGGGGTAAGGTTGCGTACATCTTACCTTCCCCAAACCCCACTTGTGGGAAATTACTGGTTTGTTGTTGTTGTCGTTGTTGTTGTTGTATTCTCTAACACATTGTCGCTGCCACCTTGTTCCGGAAAGTTCTCCACAATGTTGTTGTTCTTTCTCAAATAACCAAGATAAAAATCTTAGTGTGGAGTCCCTAAGCCACTAAGACACGTGGCAGCCAACAAGAATGAGCTTGGCCCACATTCTAGACCCTTAAAAATATTATTTTCTAATGTTATATGTAATGTTTTAGCCCAATAGCCACCTACTATATTAAATCTCCAACTCACAATTAATAAGTATGTAAATACTAAATACTATCCCCAAGAATATATATATATA